TGAGCACGGTTGCTATAAAGCCACTCCTGTAGCGTGAGGTAATGCTTTCGCTTTTGGCTATAAGGTCATGTACTTATTAACTACACAAGGCGCCAGTTACTCTAGCATTCGTCAACATTGCATAATCAATGGGCTTAGTATGCCTTTAAGATGCCTAATCGAATTACGATTAACTTTCAAATAGAGATGTCATCATCTCCACGCCTTAATGCCGATGGCTATTAAGATACGTAATCATAATCTTGATTGTAATTTGAAAGTTAATCATAGGTAGGAGTGACATCGGTTAGTTTTGGTCGAGGTTGGTCGAGTTTATTTTAGTTGGCAAACGTTGCCAAGTTGCGTGTCCGCACGCTGTGTCTGAGCCGGTGTCGTTTAAAAACACGCATTTACGTCAGTCTTTCCAATTGCACGCGAAAATATCCTTGAGTTTGTCAAATTTCGGTCAGAGTGGCAAAATGCTCTTTAGTGTACCAGAGGTGAGTCTGGTTAGCATGACTGGAGAGGGTAAATTGGAGGGAAGGGCATGCCGCCCCATCCCCCTGCTAACGTTCACTTGTCTATTCACAGCACGTTTGTCGTCACCGAGCAGCCGCCTCAGGTGTTGAAGAAGCAGACGAAGTTTGCCGCATCAGTGCGTCTGTTGATCGGCGGCAAACTCAACTTCCACATGCAGTCCCCCAAGGTCACGGTGACCATCGTCAAGTAAGTACCCGCTGTTTGCGTTTGCCTCCTCCGCGTCGCACGCCATGGCTCGGTGCATGTTGTTCACTGCGCAGGCATGCACTTCACTGCGCATGCATGCACTTCACTGCGCAGGCATGCACTTCACTGTGCAGGCATGCACTTCACTGCGCAGGCATGCACTTCACTGTGCATGCATGCGCTTCACTGTGCAGGCATGCACTTCACTGTGCAGTAAACTCACAAGTGTACTCGTGCGGCTTGTAGTGTCAAGCAGGTAGCAATGTTGCATATCGATCTCTGTCATACACTGATACATGTAGTTGTACTCATGCGGCTGATAGTGGTAAGCAGGCAGCAAAATCGCGTACCATTCTTCATCGTGCACTCACATATACTCGTGCGGATTGTAGTGGCAAGCAGGCAGCAAAATTGCACGTCAATCTTCGTCGAACACTCACGCGTGCACATGTGGTTTGTAGTGGCGCGTAGGCAGCAAATCATGTAGCGAACTGTAACAGTCTCCACCGTACACTCACGCATGCACATGTGGCTTGTAGTGAGAAGCAGGCGAGCCAATTGGTGCAGAATCCGCAGGAGATGAGGCTTCGGCAGCAGAAGAGCGGCGAGATTCTCAACAATATGATGGCGATGGAGTACCACGACGGCACGCACATGTTCTCCGCACACTTCCGCAACATGCAGCTCAAGAAAATCACCAGGTGAGTTGCGTGCGTGTGTGCTTGCGTGCATGATGTGTGCGTGCGTGCGTGCGTGCGTGCGTGCGTGTGCACGTGTGTGCGTATGTGTACACGTGTGTGCATGTGCACGCACGTGTGTGTGTGTGTGTGTATAAGTATCTGTGCTTGGCCTCGTCCCGCTCCTCGAAACTCTTTTCGACGCTCTATTGTTTACAGACCGGTGAAGACGTCGCGTAACGAGGCGCACGCCGTCACCGAGGAGAAGTTCGCGCTGCTCTTCCAAACCAGCTTCAGCATCGACAGCGACAAGCAGCTCGATGTGTTCAGCATGTCTCTTCCGGTCGTCGTCATCGTCCACGGCAACCAGGAGCCCGACGCTTCGGCGACCATTATGTGGGACAACGCGTTTGCGCCCGTCGTAAGTGCATCGTCGTTCAACCGGCTGTTCGGCCAGTAGAAAATTTGAGCTCGGGTGGATCGTGTCACTGGTGGTCTGCGTGCGTGTGTGATGGATGACTTGTTCATTTTCCGTGTGCTGGACATTTTCCGTGTCCTGTTCATTTTCTGTGTTCCGGACCTTTCGTTTAAAAATTCTTTCTTCCCTTGCGATTCAATAAGGGTTTGGGATGGGTTTGTGCTCTTGCCGATTGTGCTCTGGCTCTGCTGAAAAGCGCCAGATTCCACCGTGGTTTTGTTTACTTTACTAACTTACTAACTTACTTTACTACTTTACTTACTACTTTTTACTTTTACTTTTTTACTTTACTTTACTAACTTTATTGGATAATTACCAGAAAGTTAGTTGTCATATGCATGCACAATGTGGCATCGCATCTGCTGCTTCACATCAAAAACGTGAACAGTAAAACTCGCGGAGTAACGCCAGCTGGCATTAGGACGACGTGTCCTCTGAAACCTTAACATCAGTTAGCTGTGACCATACTGCGTGGCTGACCCTGAGAATGGGTCTTTTCTGTTTTGCACTGCAGGACTGTAAACTGTTAACATATGACTTAGCTGCATGGTTTGACTCTATATGTGCTACTTGACGGCTAACGCTCCATTAGGAGTGTTTCCAACTTTGATATCATTAATGATTAATGATTGATGATTAATGATTGATAACCCTAACCCTAACCCTAACCTAAATGACATTAAACCACAAACTAATATAAGACCATGACCATGACCATATATATATATATATATATATGTTATTATGACCATTAATGACATTAAAGTTGGGAACACTCCTAATGGAGTATCACCCTACTTGACTGCCGAAGGTCGACCCTCGTAAAACTAAGAAACGGAATTTTTCTGTCTCGCACTGCAGGACTGTAAGCCGTTCGTCGCGCCAGAGCAGGTGAAGTGGTGTCAGTTGACGGAGTGCATCGGACAGGATTTCTTGTCGAAGATGCTCAAGGACAAAGGTCGCGACATGACGAAGCCGCGCGGATTGTCGGCAGACGACCGGCTGTACCTGGCGGAGAAGCTGTACGGCATGGAAGTGTACAACAGTGACCTTGCTGCGGTGAACGATCTGGCCGTCACCTGGACGCGCTTCAACAAGGTGATGCTCTTGTGGTGTGCGTGCGCATGTACGTGTGTGCCTATGCCGTGCGCATGTACGTGTGCGTGTACGTGTGTGCCTATGCCGTGCGTGTGGGTGCTTATGCCGTTCGCGTGCATGCCTGTGCCGTGCGCCTGTGCGTGCGTGGCTGTGCCATGTGCATATACGTCCATGCTTGTACGTGTGTGCCTGTGCGTGCGTGGCTGTGCCATGTGCATATACGTGCATGCTTGTACGTGTGTGCCTGTGCCGTGCGCCTGTGAGTGCGTGCCTGTGCCATGTGCATATACGTGCATGCTTGTACGTGTGTGCCTGTGCCGTGCGCCTGTGCGTGCGTGCGTGGCTGTGCCATGTGCATATACGTGCGTGCCTGTGCGTGCGTGCCTGGTGTGCCATGTGCATATACGTGCATGCCTGTGCTCGTGGCGCGCGCTTGTATGTGCGTGCCTGTGCCGTTCACGTGCGTGTACGTGTGCACTGTTGTAATGGGTACTAAAAGTAGTATGTCGTAATGCCATTTAGATAGGCAATACATCATTTGCAATACCGTGTATGTAAATAGAAGCTGATAACAAAATGACTGGTTTGCGTTTCTATAGGAGGACTTGAGGGGCAAGGATTTTACCTTCTGGCAATGGTACTACAGTGCAGCAAAGCTGCTAAAGGAGGACAAGCAGTTAAAGCAGATGTGGAACTCTAGGTGAGTGTGAATTGATGAATAGGTAGTTGTTGGAAGGTGACTAATACTGTAGATTTTACGTTGACTCACTCACATACATGATGGGGGAGGGACTTACATAGTACCTATTGCTGTACATCAGATATTAGTTTCGTAGCACGGTTTTATAAAATGCAATCTGTTAGAAAAACTTGTAATGATATGGGTCACTTGTTCATGGAAATGTGTTCTGCCGAGTAGGCTTTCTCTTCCTCACAATTCCAAGAAAGTGCACATAATTATGTCTAGTTGTGGCACTGGTGATGTGATGTATCAATGTGTGCATGATTGCCATCTGGGGCCAGCCTCTCTATGGGTTTCATCGGAAAGGCAAGGCAGAACAGATACTTGCGAGCAAGCCGAAAGGAACATTCTTGGCAAGGTTTTCCGAGAGCAGGCAGGGTGGCATAACCATCGCCTGGTACAAGATGTTGAAAGTAAGTCATCGTATCGATGCCGTTTTTTTTGCATTTCAAAGTGTTGACCTTTAAGCGAATTGGATAGTTAACTGTAAATATTACTAAAGTCAAATTATTAAGGTCTCGTGAAGGTTCTATTGAGGTCCATTAAGTTGAACTAATTTTGTGTTCAGATTTTAAATGTAACGTTTATGTGTGTAGTACTTCACTCAACTGGGGTCTATTGACTAATCTCTTTGGAGCTGTTGTCATCTGGCTTGCTAGTACCGATGTTTTGAATGGCATTTCATTGTAGTTTGGATTCTGGATTATCAGTTTGAGCAGAGTTAAATATTTATTTCCTGCTTTCATGATATTAGTTGTAGCTATCAATATGAAATAATAATTAAATGTACAAAGATGCATGCATATCTATTTCTTATTGCTCTTATCAATAAATTTCCTCTCTATTTCCATCGCACAACGTTTTTAGCACTCGTCTCTCTAGAACCCGCTATATCCCACCTTTGAGCATTCCTTCTCTCTGGTACTCGCTTTCCCACCTGTTAGCATTCACGTTTTCTCCGATTCTCTTTCACTGTTGTCTCTGTTCATCTACCGTATCCCAGCATTCATATTTTCGTTTCTCCTGCTCCATTTGGTTGTATGCGCCAGGTGGCGCTGTTCTATTGCACTAATAGAAAATCTTCAGGACCTATTGTAGTACGCATGTTGCAAAGTTTCACAATTCTAACCGAAAGTGCACGATCCATGCGCTTATCCGCTACTAGTTTGCATAATGAGATTCTGTCGTCTGCAGACACATGGGCGTGTACCACCTGGCAGCATGGACGGCGGCTGACTTCAAGCCAGCGCTGCCTGGCCGATCGCATCCGTGACCTCGCGAGCTTGCTCTACCTGTGCCAGGACCCGAATGCAGAGCGATGCCTAAGACCAGGCGCTGCAGAGTTACTACACGATTCCCGAGCCACAGTGTACGTTTTCGTCTAACTCATAGAACAGATGTGTTAACACAACAGTAACAACAGCTATGATTTGGCAATTACAGTCACGTATAATACGTACTACTGCGTAATAGAGAGACGGGTGCCTCCGGTAGCAATGCACAGTATCGAGGCACTAGAAACGTAACTTAACTGATAAAGCATTGCACGTCCATTTGATGACATGTCTATTGAATGTAGCGCCTGATGTGCTTTTTCTTGTCAAAGTTAGAAAGTGCAGTCAGTCTAGCAAGCCAGGTACTGTCTTGTCGATTTCATCAGCATTTCAGCATTTAAGTATCATGGTGCAGGTCGGAAATTTAACGCGAGTCCGGAGTCAAATACTCCCTGATTTACTGTCGGACTCCCGGATTTGACATATGCAGGAGTCCGTGTGACTCCCTGGAAATTCTGCTAAACAAACTAGTTCATTCGGAGCACGGCCTTGCGGAATTACCGAATTTTTTCAGCAATGTCCAAAGAAAATTCGGCAGACGTGCCATGCAGACACGTCACATGCGTTATTGTTAATATCTTTAGTTTTGAACTTCAGACTGCGGACTCCCTCTTTTTGAGGGCAGGGAGTCCGTTAGACTCCCTTATTCACAAGTTAATTTCTACCCCTGATGGTGTTTTGACATGTTTCAGTGAAAATGGAACCGAACGCCGATGGATATGTCGTCTCTGACCTGAAGTGTCACTGCCAGACAGGTAGGTAACGATTAGGGTGGAACGACATGGGTAGCTCACAATACGATCCATATCATGATACAGCCTTCACAGTACATCAGTATCATGTACAGCCCTTACGCGATACGATCCGTATACGATACAGCTTTACGATATGATATCTATCGTGATACAGCCTTCACGCGTACGGATACGTATCACAATACAGCTTTCACAGTACGATCACAAAGGTGCAATACTTTTAAGTAGGGACTGTCATCGATGCCCACCTCATCGATAAATCGCCGATGGATTTCGCGTCCGATATCGATATCGAAATAAATCGAAAAAATAGCGATCCGATTTTTTTTTTTTTTTTTTTTTTTTTTGGCTAAAATTGTAGCCAGGAGCATCGGTAGCATTTTTGACTGAGCCGCCGCGCCGCCATTATCGAAGTAGTCCAGGCCGCATGCATACAGAGACAATCAATAACTTGTGGTGTTCTATTGTCTCTGGTGGTATCCTGTCTCCACTGATCTCTATAATAAAATCTGTCTACCGCGTAAAAGCATGTCTTGCTGCTTCGCCATCGCCGCGACGCCAGGTCAATCTGGTTGAATTCAGATAAATATATTACTTCGCCCGATGTTGTATTTTAAGACAGCATGTTACAAATGCATAGTTATATGTACAACACAATACCATTGAGTGTTACGTGTACTTTCACCGGCTCATGTTTTATACAATTATTTAAACTCGAATCGGATCGATCGGATCGAAATATTCCGAAAAAAAAAATATCAATATCGAACTCGACAAATAATTTGATACCAATGAGCAGCCTATTATTAAGAGAAACTACCTTAGTAAGCTAATGCTAATAAGGGGGGCTCTCGTGATCACTTACAAATCAGTATCATTGAGTTGCTTAGTAAACAGTTCTATGGAATTGCAATTGTTTTTACCTTTCGTTTCGTTTTTAGCCTCATCTGACATGAGTCAGATGCCAGTTGTTAGAAATCGCATGACCTGTCCGTCCGTCCGTCAGTCCGTCGTCCGCTCGGTCGTTCCGTCCGTCCGTCCGTCCGTCAACAAGTTGGGCACACATCTTACGCTCGACGTATCGTCACGAGTATTATGGTCGTTGGCGGGATTCGGTCAAAAACGTAGTTTTGGGGACTGTCGAAGCTGCGGGGTGTCAAGAGGTCAAAGGTTCAAAGGGTGTAAAAGAAGGGGGACATTCACTTCCTTAACTTAACCGTATAGGAGGAAATGCGCTAAATTGCAGGCACAAATCTAAAACTGCCTCTGACCTAGGTCGTGATAGTCGGGGTATACCTAATCATGGTAGGAAAACCATCACTGCTTGCCGAAAATTGGAGTGTCACACGTCAAAGGTCAATGGGACAGGGGCAGAATTTTTTAGACATATTTCTGAGGACATGGTCTCGATTCAGCGATGTCCCGCTATAACTCACAACCGCAAAACACTTTTTTGTTTCGCGTGACCTAGCATATTTTTATGGGCTTTTATTGAAAGGACACCCCCTGAATGTCCCTTCTGCTGACATGCCGGAAGAGTAACGTGTCGGATACCTTTTGACCCTCAAGAGGAAGGGTTAAACATGGATTTGTTGGACCTGCTTAACAAAGGAGTGTAATCTGCTTTTGCTTATTAGCGAGCCCCCTCCCCCCCACCCTCCACCACCCCTCCCCCACCCTCCCCACCCCTCCCCCACCCTCCCCCACCCCCTCCCCCACACCTCCCCCTAGACCTCCCCCCCCCCCACCTCTCGCAATCTGCGATATCGTGGGCAGTGTCCTAACAATGATGTGAGTATCGCAAACTGCCGTGTCTTGCATATCTGCGCCTAACAAATGTCGGTACTACGCCATGGACTGAAATTTTACGGTTTGAGTTAATTCGTGAGCATACAGACCTTCAGATGAGCCCAGACGCTCTTGCGGCCTTGTTTTGATGAAATAAGCTGGTGAAAGTGATATCGGATTTTATTGAGTAGAGTACTTTGATACGTGTATCGCGACATATCAATCGTATAATACATGTAATCATTCAAGGTTTGATATCGCAATAAGATCAATGTGGCGTAGTTGGATTTTTTCGCGGTCGGGGGCACTGGGGGGCCTTACCATTTTCGTGGGGTAAGGGCCGCACAATATTATAACTTTTCTTGCTATAAATACTGTGTCTAACGCGCATGTTTTTAATTCAATTTTTGTTTATCAAGCATGAATTTTCAGTGGGGGGGCACCTGGGGGGGGCACAGACATTTGTGTGCGGGGCACGTGCCCCCAGGGCCCCCCCGTAGCTACGCCCCTGCAATAGATCGATATAATATATATGTCGATGAATTGTCCCACCCCTAGTAATGATCGTGTTGCGATACCTCCATGAATGTGAACGTGTGAAGTAGGCTACTGAGGGGACCTTGCAGTTGTTAAAGGCTGGCTAATGGGTAGAAAGGTAGCCTGTTATATCATTAATAGATGGGTAATTGTGTTGCTTGTTTATTTCAAATTGTTTTGTTTGTTAAAACTACTGCGTACAGGATTCATAAGATAATCAATTGTTATAAGTCAACTTGGTGCAGGGTTGGAGGCATCACCTTTACTTTACTGCGGGGAAGTTCATTATTCTGAGTTGATCGGAGACCACCGCTGTTTTTCCTACTCTGGAGGAACATGTCTTGAACCCAGATATGCGAATAATCGCGCACAAGGGGAGCATGAGCTGCTCAAGAGACTTGCCACACGGCGGGCCGCACGGAGTCGATATCGATTCTATTATATAGATTCCATTATATTATAGATTATTCTTATTACAGTATTATATGGATGTTTCCCCCATCGCAGGTTTGATCAGATGCACCTGGACGACCCTCGTTCCCCGGCGAGCGTACAGAGCAGTAGCTACGAGCCACCGTCGCCCGCCATCTCCTACGCCGGGAGCACGTCGCAGCAACCCAGCGCCAACTTTGTTGACGTTGGGAGGTGGGTGTCAGAATCAATGGCTCTTGACTCCTAGTGGTGTGTGTGGCATGTACGTAGCCTCATCATTATGCAACCTCGAGTCTGTATTAGTAGCCGTAGATGCGAGTGGTGGCCGTGTAGGTGCAGTTTCTCGATATTCGCAGCGTGTTTTGCCGAGTCGTTGCGACTGCAGTGCTCGTAATGAGTGCAAAGTTCGTTAGGGGTAGTTGTATTTTGCTGAGTTGTTGCGATTGTAGTGCTCGTAACAAGTGAAAAGTTTGTTAGAACTTCGTGGGTAAAGTGAGAAACTGCACGTACACACACCTGTAGTTGATTAGTCAGTAGTTTAATAGTCCGTTAGTTGTTTTTGCTAACCATACCACATCTGTATGTGTTGCACTAGTACACTGGTATTATTTCATTTCTGCTGTGCGTGCGTGCGGAATGTATGCGTGATAGTGAGGGTTAGTGGTGAAGTTTGTAAATGAGAGAGTTAGAGTAAAGGGGTTTAATACACAGCATCCACTCCCACACACATGCACAGCTCGTTAAATCATTTCTTTGTGAATTGGTTAATTTCTGGTGATTGGCGATCATGCATAGAGGGAATCACACAGAGATGCTTACTAATTGTTTGTAGTCAGCTTTCTGTAAGCCATCCCTACCGTTGTTGATACTAATACAAATTTTTCTGATGCCATTTCGCACATTGGCAATATTCGTACTTTTATTTTAAAGCTAGGGATACCTAGACACATTGGCCGTAGAGAGTTTCAGAGCAGCAAGCATAAGTATTGACCGCTGCCGGACAGTCGGCTGCGCCGCGGCCGATGACGGTCAGTAGCACGTTACCATAGTTACGCCATTGTCGTCGAGTGAATTAACGCTCTGCCGACCATCGCCGCACGGTGCCCTTCCCCGTGTGACAGCCCTCGGTAGCAGTGGCAGTCTGCTGCGCAGACAACGGCATAACCATGGCAACGGCGTAAACCGTTGCGACGTTCTCTTGCAGCGGCAACCCGCTGATCGACAACATGGATCTCATGGCGGACTTCATGACGGACAGTGGCGCCCCCTTCTCGCCGCAGGTCGACTACGTTGATGACCTCGTCGACATGAGCGTCTTCAACCTGGTGTGTGGTCAGGGTCAGGACATGTTCCTGGGTGGGGCGGGGGATCCCGACAGCACCAACTAGACACTCCTCTCACAGCAGGTAGCGCGCGGTGGGGAGCAAATGAAATGCGTTTCTCTCGCGGGCCGACCATAACGGTTTTGAATTTTGGGTCGCGCCTGAGGCATTGAACAAGCGAGCGTGGGTTTACGATCACCAGCGTGGTGTGATTTGTGGCGATGTTCAGGCGATTTCCGAAATCGACCGTCATCGATCGTTCGCTTGTCTCGCTCTCTCCACTCGACGCACTGCATTCTACGTCTCCTGTTGGATTTCTCAACTCGGGTTCACAGGAGTACGCCCGGGTCTCACGTCTAAAGCATCTCCGTGGTTTATGTATCAGCTGCTGATTAAGATGCCAATTGGAGTTGTGATGTTAGAAATCACTCGGACTAATCGTTATGTATTGATAACCGAGATAGCATACTCATGTAATGAAATGATACTCGTAGAAACAACTGTGTTGCTACTTTATTCGTTGAAACTACTAAACTTGCACGGCTGAGTTTGTTGCGATGAAGTTAAAATGTAAATCTTGTGTGGTAACACCGATGAGAGAACGAAAAAATGTTTATCGATGCACTAAGTATTTGTTCTAGTTGTGGTCAATCGCGGTGTCGAATTTTGTAGGAAGATAATACACTAAATCCTTTCGATCTACCTAATAGTATGAACGTATCTATGCTCTATACTATGCAAATATAGCTATATTCATGATGTTGATTATAGTAGTTTTTACAAATAGATGTGTGCTATGAAGAACTACCTTTGCTGGAGTAATTTGTCTGCTTCATTAGATTTAGCTGGTGCTGTTGGGATCCCCTGTCTCAAATATTGCCGTCTCTTAACAGTCTTAGAAATAACAGATCCCCTGCCTTCCTCAGGGTTGGCTAGATTTTGTGGATTTTACTCTAGATTAAAGAGTAGAAATCTAAGTTTTTTGGGGACTGGCTAGGCTTTCACACTTATTTCTAAGACGGATCTGACGTGAAAGCGGATGTTGGTAGCATTTCTTTCTGCATCCTCTCTAAATGTCATCTCGCGTTCCTGCACGCGGCCCAAACTCTGATCCGCTTCTCTTTTGGTCATGCAGCGGAACATGCACATATTGTGCACCTCCCATTACTACCCATCTCTGTTTCACCTGACCGGGGGTTGCGTCATGAATGCAAAACCGAGGGGATATAATCTGCTTGAAACAAATGAAATCTTGCGAATGAAATATTTCCGAAGAGGTTGTTGTCTGTCGCGCGGTATCGGCTGTTAGTCACTACCCTTGTAATTAAGTAGCTCACACGACCGGTGTTGTTCAGTTGCCACCGCAATGACTGGCCCAGCTGTGATAGTAAAATGATATTTAAGTACTGATCTCTATTTTGTTTATCGCCGTTCAGAATGGCGACGTGTTGAATTTTTTTAGGCCAGCGATTCTCTGAATGTGTCTCAGAATCCCAGCACGCGGGTGCTGCATATGTGACGTCGTCCGTTTTTGGGGGGTAAAAATGTGTATAAGTGCACAAATTGC